TTCATCAAGAGAATCTAGAAACTTTAGAACTAAGATAGAATCCTGTTTGAACATATAAAATCTTCTCATGTCATTATTTAAACAATTAAAACAATTAAAACTTTGAGTAAGAGTGTAACGCCCGTTCTAGGTATGAGTTAATTTATTAGTGTTAAACTTTCATTTTTGGGTGGCAACGTGGTGGAGCTTCACCACGACATGGCATTATTTTTATGATCACAGGAATTAAATGACATGTCACGACATCACAGCCATTTTTGGAGGAAATCCTAATCCTCGGGCTTTGGGCCCTATTTAAAGGACATTATGGCCAGGGTTTCATGATCATTTAGCCTCCATTACCCTCCGAAGATCAGAAACCCTAACTGTGGTCTCCATTGCATTTGTGAACTCATTTTGGGTACTTGTGGTTGTCTTTAAAGGAGAAGGAAGCGTTTGGGGTGATGATTCACCTTGTAAGCATCATCTTCATCTTCTAGCATATCTTTTGGACTTTGTTGAGTGTCCAAGACTCAATATTTTCCTTGGTAAGTTGCTAGATCTTTATTTTGTCCATTATTATTCTTGTCTTGATGAGTTTGAGTGGTGAGATCTCATAAAGTTTGTAACTTTATGAATCACCATGCCATTTGGGGTATTTGGTGTTTTGGATCTTAAGCAGGAATGAGTTTTGGTGTCATGCATGAAATATTGGTCATAAGCCCTTGTTTTGACCTAATAGGAGTTAAGACATGCATTGGACAAGCATATCTGTAAAGCATAAATTTTTATGTTTGTAATGGTGTTAGGAACCCTTCTGGAACTGATGGACAAGAGACCTGTAATGATTTTTCCTTTTTTGGACCTAGGAGTTAAGATATCGTTCCCTTGGAGACTCTTAAAGGATAAAGTTGGAAACTTCATCCATTTAAACCATAGATTGAACCAAATTTGAGCATTGGAGCTCTTAGAATCGAAGAAAATGGCTTAACCCATTAAGATGTTTGAAACTCAGTTCCAACGGCTTGTTGTCTTCGTGAATCTTGTTGATATGACTGTATTCTGATTGTATGTGGGGGTGAAATATACCCATTCGGTTGAAAAATACCAATTGCGTTGAAACATACTTGGGGATAAAATAGGACCGGGGTGAAATAGACCTGTTCTGTTGAAAAATACTGATTGAGTTGAAATAAACTTGGGGATGAAATAGAAATGGGGGTAAAATAGACCTGTTACAACTTTGTGTTGATATATATATATATATATATATATATATATATATATATATATATATATATATATGGTATTTGGTGTTTTGGGGAACTCACTAAGTTTTGTGCTTACAGTTTTATGTTTATGGTTTCAGGTACTTTCGGTTCTAAGGGGAATGGCTCGACCTAATTGTACCAAATCCACCAGTATTCCACATGATTTGATCGATTTTATACTATGATGATTGTATGAAATATTTTATATTATGATGGGTTTTCAAATTGAATGAAAGGTTGTTTTGATCGATTTAAAAGAAATTTTTTACTTCGAATTTTTGGGACGTTGCAAAGAGATTCATTCCTTTGAGCAAAGAAGTGTTCATATGTGCGATTCAGACTATTTTCCCTAGTAGCTTTCACTTTTTTGGTTCCTTCATATGCTACCGTCAGCATATTGATCATCTCTTTGGTAGGGACACAATTTCGATCAAGGTGATAGATATCATAAGGAAGTGAGTTGCCTATTGCAGCACGAGATCGAACATCAAGGCTATGCAAACGCTTACTAAACTGATGTTTAGGAGTTTTCTTAATAACACCAGTTTTCATGCCATCTTTTCTTTCATCAAAGGTAGGAACATGTGTACCGTTTTCGATAATGTCTAGTCTATCAGGATCCATGGTTTCAAGAACAACCATAACTCTGTTTTTCCACATGTGAAGTTCTTTCCATCGAAAGTAGGAATTTTGTTTCCAGAGGTGGTACTAGAGAAAAGTTTAGAGTCGGAAAAAGAAGATGAATAAGAAAGTTTAGTCATTATGAGATAAATATACCCGTTCTGATACCAATTGATTGATCGACTACATGTCGACTACATTGCTTAGCACTTTGGCAAAAACTCCTCTGTTTCTTATGCTTCAGGAAGCATATGTTTCATGGAATCTTCCCTCTGAAGGAGTTGTTTGTGAAATTGGTTATCATCAATTTGCTATTGATTCCTAACCTATATAACTACATAGAAAGGATTGTACAGTGTAGCCTTTTTTAATTCCTGTTAAATGATTGTTGAATAACCGAAATATTTATAATTGACATAACATCCCAGCTAATTATTCACCATTGTACATGAATTCTAGAAATAGGTAATGTGTACTAACAATGTTGCAACTAATTTGTGTAAGTTCATTGCTCTTATATCAATGATTCTGAAGAAAAGTATATGTCATTGATTTTAAGTCAAAACTCAGATCCATGTGCATCAAAAGTAAACAATGACAAAAGGGTTTTTGGAACTCAGTTCGACCGATGTTTTGGGTAGTTTCAGGGGCTGTTTGGTAGCCTCTTAATTGAATAATTAAGAGGCAACCTCTTAAAAATTCAGATTTAGAGCGTTTGGTTGTATCTTATTTTTTTTGCCTCTTAATCTTAAAATATCTCTTATTTTTTCAGATGTAAAGTTGTATCTGAACAAAAAACCACATGCACGTTCCTATTTTTCCCAAAACATCTTCCTCCTCTCTTTTCTATTTCACGATACGGCTTCCCCTCCAAGCCATCTTCGAAGACCTGTAACCCTATTGCTCTAGCACCGGTGGTTTACCGTCTCCACCAACACTTGCGCCTCCTCCAGCGTCGTTGTCTGCACCTCCTTCCAGCCCCATCAAAACTCATTGACAACATTAGGTAATTTCTGAAAGCTACTTCTGAACTTGATTTTCTTGGCTTTCCACGAACATCCCGTTAAACTCAACCAGCGACACCATTTCCACCACCCCCGCCAACTTCCTCTGTCTCTCTGACTGGTAGGCATTCATCTGCTCCATGTGTTTGCGCTTGTGGTCAATTGTGCAATATTCAAATTTGATTTGTGGTAATTTTGTTTGCAATTAGGTTATAGAGAAATCAAAACAACAATCTGGGGTATTTTACATAAGATTTCAGATTGCTAGGCGTTAGAAACCAAAATTGTTGTTATTGATTTTGTGGAGATTATATGTGATAATTAGGGGCTAAGTAATTTTCTTTGTTTAAGACTTGATTCATCAATGGCCAAAGAGTGATCGGATACTAAATTCCATCAGCACTATGGTTTTATAATTGGTTGTTAACATGATGAAGAAATCGGGATATAATTAGGTAACTTTGTTTAGCCTCTCTTGTTACCCTAAATTCTTTTGGTTGGTTAAATTCGAAGATTAATGGATATATAAAAATGGTGTTATTTTTTTAAAAAAATTTATGTCAAAGAGATCATTACAAGTTATTAATTAAAAATTTTGATTTATGCTAATATGAATTTTGTATTGTGTTTATAGTTTTTTATAATTATTCAGCAAATATAATACATAAGGGTAAAATAGTAATTTTGATAATTCAACATATCAATTCAAAGGTTCCAACCAAACAGCCTGTTCATAATTCAGATCTTAAAGTTTCAGATCCTCTTAAAAATTCAAATCCTGCTAAACAGCCTCTTAATCTTGGCCAATTGAGATTCATAAACTCAATAGACCAAGTTTATAAATTTTTTTAAACAATGTGTCTTTGCTCCTCTTTGACAACCCTAAACATTTACAAGCTTCTCTTTAAGTATTAGTCTCCTTTCTGAAACATATAGGTCAATGTATATAACTCAAGATGAGAATGAGAACATTATCATACTTTCCCTTTACTTGGACAAAATTTTCTTAGCAATTAATGATATTGATATTTTACAGGAGTCAAAACATTTATTGAGATATCATTTCGAAATGATTGATCTCTAGGAAGCCACTTATGTTACAAAAATTCAAATACATCAATATAGACCCGACAAGATTTTAGGATTTTAACAATGTTTTAAAAACTGGTTTTTTAGTTCACCAGACCGGTTCCCGGTTCAACCAGTCCGACCACCTATTCAACCAAGAATTTTTCTACGTCTGATGATTGGAGTTATATATGCTTCAAAAATGTTATGTATGCTTCAAAATGTTCAATTTACTTTGTAAATAGGCTAATTTTTGAACGGGTAAGGGAAACTCAACTATAGAAGTCAAATAAATAGGTTCAAACGGTTCTTTACCGGTTCTATCATATCAGTTCAACTCGATTTTTGAAGAAACAATCTAGTTCAATCCGATTTAGAAATTGGCATAGTTCAATAGTTCAAAATGTTCAATTTACTTTGTAAATAGGCTAATTTTTGATCTCTTATGCTTGGGAACTTGGAAGCACGATGATTCATGTATGCCCTAGTTCAATAGTTTTTACTAATCCAACCATCACTTATTCGTCATCAATCCAATCCGACATAAATCACTAGAAAGCCAAAAATAAATGAATGTGTACAATGGACTCGAGACAAACTTATTTTTAAGAAAAGTAATAGGTTATACAACTCCAACTTCAAGAGATGCAAAGATGACATAATGTCAGCTTCAAGTTACTTGCATATGTACATTATATCTTGGAAGAGTCGTAAGCAAAAATTGAAGTCAGCCTTGGCCATGATGGCGAAATATGTTTGTATATATTGCAACATCCCATGAAATGTTGCTGAGAAATTTAACAAGAGGACTCATGATCAAAAAATTTATGTTTCAAGGCGTCTAATTATCTATTACAATAACGTTAGCAGTTAGCTATGTGCAATTTTATCGTCTATTATTAGTTTTTTTTGTAATGCATATTACTACTGTATTTTGTTTTCTTTCGTCATGAACTAAAGAAGAAATTTAACTAGTTTACCAAGACTAATAATAATAACAATGACATGATAGTAAAAGATGAGGAATATAGAGAAGTTAGCTTGTTATACAGAGCTACTAAAAGCACACAGGGGTTAACAATGGCTGATTAGAGAAGTAAGCCACCAGATTTGCGACAACAAGATCAGCCATAGCTTTGCGGGTTTCATGGGTGCAAGTTCCTACATGTGGTGATAAAACTACATTATCAAGATGAATGAGTTGCTGGGGTACCTCAGGTTCATGTTCAAGCACATCCAGCCCTGCACCACCAAGTCTACCTTCAACAAGAGCTGAAACGAGCTCTGGTTCATCAACATGAGCTCCTCGTGCGATGTTGATGAGAAACCCATTTGGCCCTAAAGCATCAATGGCTTCACGGTTGATTATGTGATGATTTGCTTCTGTTAATGAACAGGCGATAACCAGGATTTCACAGTTTGAAGCCAATTCGATCACGTTTGGATAGTATATGTAACCTGAATTTGGTTTCTTTGATCTGGAGTGGTAATTAATTTGACAACCAAACCCCTCCAATCTCTTCGCAATTGCTGATCCGATTCTTCCCAACCCTACTATTCCCACCGATTTCCCACTAACCTGCAAGTAAATCAAACGATCAATGACTCGAGGAAATCGCCATACAAACGATTTGAACTCAAAATTCTTTTTAATTTTGTAATCAAAACGAAGGAAGAAGCATACTTTTGTGGTCAATTTGAAGTCTCGTTGCTTCCACGATCCATTTCTTACGAACTTATCGCCTTCGCAAATCCTTCTGAGAGTCGCCAAAGTAAGTGTTACAGCCAAATCAGCGACTTCATCGGTCAAGGAATCAGGGGTGGATGTGACGAAGATCCCCTTTTCTTTGCATTTTACTAAATCAATCTGGTTTAAACCAGAACTGTGACTCGAGATGATCTCTAGACGTGGAAGCGACTCGATTAAGCTGGAGTCAGCTCCATGGATTCCGTTTCCTACAAGTGCTCTGATTGAACGGGAGTGTTGGTTGAAGAAGTCGACCTTGGAGGGGATTTCCCATGATTTGAAGAGGTTGAATCGTTTTGAGAGCTCATCTTGAAGATATTTGGTCATTGGGCAGGTCATCCATACACCTATTTCGTCCACCATCTTCGTCAGATTTGCATCAGAGAGCAAACCCTTGAAGGGTGGGAAGTTTGGTCGTCAATGGCGTAGCAGTCCTTGCAGAATAGTTACTGGAAAAGGATTCCGATCTCCCATAGATGGATCAGAATCTGATCACAACCATTTATTTATTTATATAAATTTAAATATATAAGAAACGTGATGGATTACTCAAGCATCCACGTTATCGTTTAAAAGTGAATTATGATGACATACCGAAGATCGCATATACTATTTCGTTTTTTGTAATTTCAAGAAATCATAGTATTAATCTTATTATTTTTTTTAAAGATTAAATTAAAGAACGAATCAAAATAGTGATGATTTATGCGGCTGATATTTATGAAGATTTTTGCTTTAGTGTTTGATATCTAAAACTTTTTTTTTTAATTTTTTATTTATATAAAACTAGATATCACATGTTTATTAAAATTTTTTATGTAAATGTGTGAATATTAAGTAGTGATGTTGAAAAAGTGAATTAAGATGTAAATATTAAACATTTTGTTTAAAGTAAACGATTCGAAATAAATACAAACGAAATGATGAATAAATAGGTAATTCAATCTATACAAATATATATTTTTTTTTGACATATTGCGAATAATTGTTATGAATCACAAATGTCCAAAGACTTGTTTGAATACAACATTAGATGTGTATTGCTAAGTTTATCACCTCTGTCTAAAATTAATATTTTTAATTCATCTTTGCTTTTAGCTCTCGGCAATGCAACATGCAACTATCCATGAGTGAAAACTAGTTGTAACGTTCCAAAACTTATGATCAAAAATTTCATTCTTGTTTTAATAACACTATTAACCAAACATGTTTATAAAATCATGAAGGAAATTAGAGTATGTCAATAACCATCCAAAAGTACATCAGAATCATATAAAATGTAAAATCATGGTATGTACAATGCAATCATCCCTAGCTCTTCCCCTTCGAACCGGAAGTACATGAAATATAAACTGAAAATTGTAAGCACAAAGCTTAGGGAGTTCCAAAAAGAACCACACACCATACATAAATATCAGCTCAAGGCTGAACCGGGTCTATTTCACCCCAGGTCTATTTCACCCCCGAGTCTATTTCAACTCAAATGACTACTTAAGGCTGTATCGGGTCTATTTCACCCTTATGTATATTTCACCCCATATACATATAGCAACCAGGCATACATGCATACAACAAGAGTCACAAAGACAACAAGCACATACAACCCTAGTATCCTACAATATAGTGAGCAAACTCACATTAATCTGTTGATAAACAAATAAATGCTCGGGCAGCTGAACTGGAGAATCCCCACACTAATAAATCAAATAATATCCTAATTAATAATTAAGTCATAAACCATAATCGGAACCTAATTCATTAAACCCGACTCCTTAAACTAAAAGGCTATTTTACCCTTTTCCATTAATCAGCCCATAATCGAGGCCCAACCTAAAAGCAAATGAATCCCAATATGGCCCAAAACCCTCTAAGCCCACAACAGGGAGTACGTGGAGCGTACCCAACTCATACACCCCGGGTATTCACCCTTGACCAACTTACATGGTTTGAATCCAATACATGCAGCGTATACGGAAGTACACCCGACGTACTGGTCTTTGAGCCAATCCTTCTTGGTTGGCTTAATCCCTTAAGACCTTTTCATCTAAACTTCAGTTCAACTCTAAAATAAGGTCTTAATCCAAAATTTTGGAAGCTTTAAGCATATGTATAGCTCAATAAACTCCAAAACCCAACTTTAACACTTTAACCTCATGAAATGAGCATCAACTCTTGCATGGTTGAGTTAAACACATAAAGCTACCTTTTTATGCACAATGGACCTTAGAAACATAAAGATCTAACATCCTAAGCTTCTGGAGTAGCTTATACTCACAAGAACAACTCAAGGAACCAAAATATGTCAAAAACTTCAAGCTATCTAGATCTAAAAGATAAATCATCAAGGTTGCAAATTTATACCTTCTGGGACTTGCGAAGATGATAAAGATTTGGATCTTTAAGCTCCACTCCAACAAATGCTTGATCACTAAGCTCCTACTTCTTGAAAATGTATAAAAATTACCAAAAGTTTACTTCCAAAGCTCAAGATCACACAAGGAAAGGTTAGGGTTTCGTGTGGAGTCTTTAGAAGGAAGGAGGTTGATGAGGGGCAATATCAAAGTCCATAATAACATTTGCATAGAGGTCAAACCCTAAAAAATTAGGGTTTGTGGTCTGCTTACATACGACTTCAACACATGCGACCCACTTAAAAGAGTACGTCCAGCATACCCCCTGGTATGCCTAACGTACTCAGGGACCAAAAATGAACTTTTTCTAAAATCAAATCCAATGCAAAAAAGTACCTAAAACTCGATTATTTCAATTCTCCCCCCACTTGAATCAGAATTCGTCCTCGAAGTCCGTTGCTGGAAATAACTTTGGATAATGCTTCCTCATCTCCTACTTAGGCTCCCACGTCCACTCTGAATCCTTCCAGTGTTGCCACTGCACCTTTACCAAGTATGCCACCTTGTTCCGCAAAGTCTTTGTTTTTCTTCCGAGGATTGCTACTAGTCTCTATATAAATCAGGTGATAGAACAACTGATGAATCATCAACTAGGCATTTCCGCAGCTAAGAGACCTGGAAAGTGTTACGGATCTGACTGAGCTCTTCTGGAATATCCAAATAATATGCAAACCTGCCCACTTGGGCTAATACCCTGAAAGCACCAATATATATATATATATATATATATATATATATATATATATATATATATATATATATATATATATATATATATATATATATATGGGACCAACTTACCCCGCTTCCTAAATCATATGACACATTTCCAAGGTGACACCTTCGAGAGTATCTTGTCCCCAACCTGGAATTATAAGTCTGAACGACGTCTATCTGTGTAGCTCTTCTGACGACTATTTGTTGTCTGAAATCGACCACGAACCTGCTAGATCAACTCGGTCATTCGAAGTACCACCTTCATACTACCCACAACCCGCTAACCGACCTCACCCCAACATATCGGGGTCCTACACTTCCTCCCGTAAAGCATCTCAAAATGAGGTCAATCAATGTTAGTGTGATAGCTGTTATTATATGAAAACTATGCTAAGGGAAGATACATGTCACAACTCCCGCCAAAATCCAATACACATGCCTGAAGCATGTCCTCCAAGGTATGGATAGTCCGCTCACTATGACCATCAGTATGAGGGTGGAAATTCATGCTGAAATTCAGACGAGTACCCAACTCCCCATGAAATCTCTTCCAAAACCTAGAAGTAAACCGAACATCCTTATCAGAAACCACCGAAACCGGCACCCTAATTCGTGCCATAATCTCCTGAATATAGATGTCAACCAGCTTCTCAACCAAGATACTCTCAAGGATCAGAATAAAGTGTGTGCTCTTGGTCAATTGATCCACGATAACCCATATCAAATCCACTCCATGCGTCATATGTGGTGCTCGGCCTTGACTTTCCTGCAAGTGTGTGGTCTTGGTCAATTCATAATGAAGTTCATTGTGATCTCTTCCCATTTCCAAACAGGAATACCTAACGGCTCCATTGTGTCTTGAGGTCGCTGGTGCTCGGCCTTGACTTTCCTGCAAGTCATGCACCTTTCCACGTACGAGGCTACATCCCACTTTATGCAGGGCCACCAATAATCAGGTCGGAGATCTCTATCAATTTTCATCGTTCCGGGATGAATAGAGAACCTTGATGTAACATCCATAAAATTCATGAAAATTTAAAACTTTTTCAAGCATTCAAAAAACATCATTTATTACAAAATGTTTTCAAAATAGTTTCATATCAGAGTATCGTAGAAATCAAATCATAAAAATGCAAGGAGGTGCACGATTACACATTCGCCTTCCCACGATCATGTCGGAAA